CCACCCTGAGTGCAGCCCCAGACCAGCCCCTCCACTGGGAAGAGGCCAGCGCAGCCCCCAACCCTGAGCCTGCAGCAAGCAGCCCACCCTTGCCCTGCGCACAGATCCTAGGGGGGCACATGCCCCCCCATGTCTCCCCCGGGGATGCACGCAGCAGCGGGGAACTGCCTCGCTCCCCCCCAGACTAGCTGCCCATGGCTCTGTCCTGCACCTCACCCCAGCTGGGCAGTCCCTGCCCCTGCCCATTCCCTCCCTCGCCATGGGGGTCCTCAATCTGACCCCCCCACTACGCCCCTTCACTCCCACAAACTTCACGTCCAGACACTGGTCTCCAAGCTGCCGGGCTGCATATCGGTATTGGCCATTAGGGCTCGTTTAATAATTGGCTTTCAGTATCGGCCAAAAAAATCTTTATCATGCACCCTAAAAACTGGCTTGATTGTCTGGCTCAAAGACTAGCAGTCAATGGCTTGATGTGTGATTGGCAACCAGCCTTAAGTAGAAGGCCTCAGAGGTCGGTCCTGGGGCCAGTTTTGTTCAATATCTTCATCATTGATTTCGAAGATGGTGTAGAGTGCACCCTCAGTAAGTTTGCAGATGACACCAAGCTGTGGGGAGTAGTAGATATGCTGGAGAGTAGGATGAGGATTCAAAATGACCTAGATTGGTGGTTTTCAACCTGTTGTCTGCGGACCCCCAGGGGTCCATGGAAGATAACTATGATCAATCAAAAGTATGTGAATACCCACACTTACAATTCAAAAGGGCCCACATCTCCATTCAAAGTTTTTTAGGGGTCCGCAAATGAAAAAAGGTTAAAAAACCATCAACCTAGGCAAATTGGAGAATTGGACCAAAAGAGATCTCATGAGGTTCAGTAAGGACAAGTGTGAAGTCCTGCACTTAGGGCAAAACAATCCCATGCACCAGTACAGGCTGGGGACTGACTGGCTAAGCAGCTGCTCTGTAAAAAGGACTTGGGGGTTACAGTGGGCAATCAGCTGAATACGAGCCAACGGTGTGCCCTTGTAGCAAAGAAAGCTACCAGCATACAGGGCTGCGTTAGTAGCAGTGTTTGAGGTAAGTGTTCCTCTTGGTTCAGCACTGGTGAGGCCACATCTAAAGTACTGTGTCCAGTTTTGTGTCCCTCAACTATAGGAATAGTGTGGACAAACTGGGGGGAGTCCAGTGGAGGGTGACAAAAATGGTTGGGGGGGCTGGAGCACGTGACATCTGAGGAGAGGCTGAGGGAACTGGGCTTAGTTTGGAGAAGAGAAGACTGAGAGGGGATTTGATAGCAGCCTTCAACTCCCTGAAGCGGGGTTCCAAAGAAGATGGAGCTAGATCAGCGGTTCCCAATCTGTGTATGCGTACCACCAGTGGTATGCAGGCAACCTGTCAGTGGTATGTGTTAAGTAATTATTATAATTACTTTATATGACAAAAATTTGCTGGTGATACTTTAGGTCGTATCGTTTCAAATTGGTGTTGCACAATCTGTCAGAGTTTGGAAGCCACTGAGCTAGATGGTTCTCAGAGGTAGCAGATGACAGAATGAGAAACAATCGTCTCAAGTTGCAGCAAAGGAAGTTTAGGTTAAATATTAGGAAGAACTTTCTCATGAGGTTAGTAAAGCACTGGAACAACCTGCTCAGAGAGGTTGTGGACTCTCCGTCCTTGGAAGTTTTTAAGACCCGGCTGGACCCTTGGCTGGGATGATCTAGTTGGGGATGGTCCTGCTTTAAGCAGGGGTTTGGACTAAGTGAACTCATGGGGTCCCTTCCAACCCTAATTTTCTATGATTTCTGTGCGCAGCCCATCCTGCTCAGAGAGTGGAGGCAGTGGTCCCATGAAAAACAGTGTATAATCATGAGATTTTTAAACGCTGTAGTGAATGTATACTTAAGAAACTAAATTCATATTGCATTTCTTAACTTTTGAATGCTTGACTTAGCAACTTCAACATACTTGTAATGCAGTTTTTGCATATAGTTTCCTGTTTTTTAAAAAAGCAAACTGAAGTAGCATGTTCCATCCCACACATGCTGGTTTCCACTTCATCAGCAGGATTGAAACCTTTAGATCACAACATTGACTTTTGCCACCGGACTAAACAGGTTAATTGATAGCACTGAGAGATTGTCATCTCCCAGGGCACAGCAACTTGGAGGAGGTGCAGCACACATTTAGCCAGTGGATTTAAGAGAGATTTTCTGACAGCAAAGGGATATTGAGGTATAGGGATACTCTATTCTGGTGGCTTTCAACCTTTTCCTACTGGGACCCATTTGCAAAGATCCATGACCCATCTGGCCCCCCCCGGCCCTCTGGGCTTTGCTGGGGTCCCTCACTCCTG